TAAAAATACTGGTGTCCGTAAGATTGATTATGCAAATAGTATTGTTTTAAGAACCCTTGAAATCATTGACTATTTCAAACCTAAATACTGGATAATAGAAAATCCTCAGACTGGATTATTAAAGGAACAACCGTTTATGGGTGGTTTAAACTACTATGATGTGGATTATTGTAAATATGGCATGAACTACAGGAAGCGAACGAGGTTGTGGTCAAACATTGAAACATGGAAACCCAGACCATTATGCAAAGGGGATTGTGGGAAAATTAGGAATGGGCGACACCTTGAAACTGCTCAGCGGTTACCATCAGGTAAAAAGGTTGATTGGGGTGAGGGATACATCAAACATAAACAAGATGAGTTATACAAAATTCCTACTGATTTGATTAGTGATATATTTGTTTGTTTGTTTTGATTGGGGGTATTACAAGTGATTAGGAGTTTGTTATGGGAAACCCTCCCACCACCAAAACCTGAAAGGCGACAGTCACATAGGCGAAGGTCAGCATGTCTTCCCAACCTCGGCGTGGGGCCAAATGCGGAGATTACCAAAATTAAGAAATCTTGAGTAGTGTTGCGGGTTCTGGTTTGTTGTGGTTGCGTGTGGCCTGTTGCGAAGCATTAAAAGAATAAAAATGGTCGTCGACTACCCCGTATCCTTTCCCTGTTCTTTTCGGTGATAGTTGGTGGCATGCTTTAGGCAAAGCCTCTTCACTCCTACCTCACTATCATCAGGAACACAAACAAGGATACACAGAAACGTCGGTAAGGTCTTTTCCATCTCTCCAATCTCTCACATCAGTTTCTGCTGAATAATGTGGTGGACTTACACTCTTTCTGATGCTAAGGACTGTTCAAACATCAGAGTCGCCACATGTACAGCTCTATATCACATGGCTGTTTCAGCCAAATCACGAAGTCTGTTGCGAACCACACCGAGCCACTCACCTTTGCCATACTCAGCAAGAGAACTCTCCACCAAATTAAGCAGGTAGTGCTCAGCATCTGCGGTTCTCTGGGAGAGCAACATGGATTGTTCCTGTCATGGTTGCACGTGGTACTAAAACGGTTGAACCGTGGGACTGAAACGGTTGAACAGTGGGACTGAAACGGTTGAACCGTGGGACTGAAACGGTTGAACCGTATGACCAAATCGGTTGGAAACACCAGCGGAATAAGGGTGTTTTTTGGTTCAAACTGTGGAACTGAAACGGTTGAACCGTCAGACTGAAACGGTTGAACCGTGGGACTGAAACGGTTGAACCGTGGGACTGAAACGGTTGAGCCAAAAACCGCAACCAAAGACGATGTTAGAGTTCTGATACACTACAATTTCAAAGACCTCGTCAGTAGTGGATGGGATGGAATAGGAGAGTGGCGACACTGAATACCAAGTCATATAAAAATTATGATTGTTTTCTCATAATATTTAATTATAATATGATTAAACATTGTTTTATAATCTAACAAGAAGGTTTAGCCAACCGACCAGAAACCCCCTAGCCAAAACTACTTAAAGAAATATTACCTTATATATTAAGAGGAACATGAACAGTGATAAAATCAATAATTATATCAATAAAAAATGCTTTGATTGTTGTCACTTCAAATAAGAAAATATGGAATTGTATAAATTGAATTTACCTAATGGAATAATAAATAATATTATTGATTATTCAATGGATGAAGAAGACGAATGTAAAATTTGTCAGGAATGGAGAGATAATCAATATTTATTCAAATGTCTGTTGAAAATAAAAGGAAGACATAATAGAAATGTAGAAGATGAGATTTTAATATTTCTAACTGTAAATAAAATACCACCTTACGATTATGTTAAACAGTTCTTAAAATCAGTAAGAAAAAATATGACATGATTTATGATATATTATGGATGTTGGGTTATAGTCAAGAGAAAGGAGAAGATGTTAAAGAAAATATCAAATTATTTATTGAAAGTAAAAAGTTTAATGTTCAAAATACAGTGAGAGATATTAGTATTATTTTTAAAATGATGTATGAAAGAAGTAAGACAAATCAATTAAATTATTATCCTGAACTGAAATTATAATCATGATATAATTATAACATGTAAAATCTTATATGTTATAATTATACTGAACTTTTAACCTATAACACCCCTTAAACTTATCTAAAAAATAACCCCTTAAACATATAGAGACCAATGACAGACAAAAAGCAATGTTCCAAATGTAAAGTCTTTCAATTGTTAGAAAAGTTCAACGAAGGAAGAAAACAATGTAATGTATGCTTGGAGAGCAAACGACGGTATAGAGAAGCACACAAAGAACAAATACAAGAGAAGGCAAAGGTTTATTATGAACAAAACAAGGAATACTACAAAACATACCAACAACAATATACTCAGACCTTGATTGAATGTGATATATGTAATCGTCATTATCATCAAGGCAAGCGAAAGCAACACGAAGAAACCAGCTTTCATCAACATAACCTCAAACTGAAAAACGAATATGAAGAGCGTCATAAAACAAATACACCACCAACACCCTAGAACTTGATAACTACTAAAAGGGCTACCTCCTTCAAATGAAAAAATGTCGGCCCCCAGCCCAACAATGAACAAGGCGACAAAAACCCAAATGTTCCACCTCTAACAAAACGATAAATAAGCTCCCTAAAAACCCTCTTTTAAAAACGGATAAGGTGGTTAATAGGTTTGAGATGAAAGTAAAAAGCATAACAGGCAACCATCAACAGGCCACCCCTCAGCTTCACCCTAATCCGCAAAGACATCCCCAAAGACATCCTCAAAGACATCTCCCAAAGACATTGCCCAAGACAACCGCAAAAAACCTCTCCAAAGACATTCCCTGAGATATACCCCAAAGACATCCCCAAAAGACACCCCCCAAAAAAAAATCCGCAAAGACATCCCCAAAGACATCCTCAAAGACATCTCCCAAAAACATTGCCCAAGACAACCGCAAAAAACCTCTCCAAAGACATTCCCTGAGATATACCCCAAAGACATCCCCAAAAGACACCCCCCCCCCCAAAAAAAATCCGCAAAGACATCCTCAAAGACATCCTCAAAGACATCTCCCAAAGACATTGCCCAAGACAACCGCAAAAAACCTCTCCAAAGACATTCCCTGAGATATACCCCAAAGACATCCCCAAAAGACACCCCCCAAAAAAAAATCCGCAAAGACATCCCCAAAGACATCCTCAAAGACATCTCCCAAAAACATTGCCCAAGACAACCGCAAAAAACCTCTCCAAAGACATTCCCTGAGATATACCCCAAAGACATCCCCAAAAGACACCCCCCCCCCCAAAAAAAATCCGCAAAGACATCCTCAAAGACATCCTCAAAGACATCTCCCAAAGACATTGCCCAAGACAACCGCAAAAAACCTCTCCAAAGACATTCCCTGAGATATACCCCAAAGACATCCCCAAAAGACACCCCCCCAAAAAAAATCCGCAAAGACATCCCCAAAGACATCCTCAAAGACATCTCCCAAAGACATTGCCCAAGACAACCGCAAAACACTTCTCCAAAGACATTCCCTGAGATATACCCCAAAGACATCCCCAAAAGACACCCCCCCCAAAAAAAAATCCGCAAAGACATCCCCCAAAGACATTCGCAAAGACACCCCGAAGACATCCCCCAAACGCCAAGCTCCAAAGTGCTGCGCCTGCCACGAAATCTGCACGAAAAGCCTTAAAATACTGCACCTGCCACGAAATTTGGCCCAAAAACCTTGAAGTGCTGCGCCTGTCACGAAATCCAACTTCGACACGTTTGCAGCGCGTATCCAAAATGAGCGCGGGACTGTGGTGCCAGAATGAGTTCGACCGACTTTGGCAAATATCGAATTCGCCAGACCGAGCCGATTGTACGACCGGGCCAACGAAAATGACACTCGAGCACGCGCTTGCACGCGCATTCCAAGCAAAACACCTCAAAACGACCACCCCTGAAACGCAAATCACAATGGCACGGCGACGCCAAACGCGCAACCTTCCAAAACACCGCGCCTGCGCAGCAAAAAAGCACGTGGAGCTTGCGAAGCCACGATTGCCGCACAGGCGCGACGAATCATGCGCTTTCACATCCATCCGAAACGTCATTTTGCAGTGAATCCCACTGGAACTGCAAGCGCGACACTCGCAGTCACAAACGAACGCTTCGCGGACGCTTGCGTCCGTAAACTCAACGGTTTCTAGTCACCTCCTAACCCCCAGACCCCAAATCTAAACGGGAACCCTTCCATTCGAGAAAAACAAATTCGAACACATGTCAAAAAAACACGTCAACCAACATAAACCTGATAGAAGCCACGAACCCGAATGCAAGCTGCGCGGCACATGTTGTCCCATTTTTCAAGCTTCAATGAAAAGAAGAAACTAGGACTAGGATCGTAGTGAAGCCAAATCTCATAGTTCGCTAACCTTCGCAGGCATTTCTTGCGCGCCTTCTTTGCTTGGATTCCCTCCACGTCTTCTTTACTGATTTCTTTGCGTGTCTTCTTTGCTTGCTATCCTCGCGCGCCTTCTTTGCTTGCTTTCCTTGCACGTCTTCTTTCATTTCTTGCAAAGAGCAAAATGACATTGAGCGTGCCAAAAGCAACGATTTCCGCACAAGGCCAACAAAAACGACACGTTGGACTTCATTCAAGAGACATGTTTTGCCCTATCAGCACGGCAATTGTTTCCACACGCGGGCGCTTGCAAACGCTTGGGGACGCTTGCGGCCGCTTGCGAACGCTTGCGGGCGCTTGCGAACACACTGACACGTCTTGCAAGCAAGTCCTGACCCCCAGACCTTTTCGGACCCTTGCAAATGCAAGTGTAAATTAAATGCAAATGGGACAAAAAACAACAAGGAAAGGAAAACACCAGCCGGCTAGTTCTCGGCGAGTGAGTTACCCCCGCCCCCTGCCTCCCCTCCCTTCCGCCCGCACCCCAGGAGAGACCACTTGACACCTCAAAAAGAGAGAGAGCGCCTCAAGCAGCTTCCCCAGTGCGTCCTGGCGTCGTCAACCATGATCCGCCGACCCCTCTCCGCGACGGGGGGGGGGCGCCTGGGAAGCTTAGGTGCAAACTGGCAGGACCAACGACAAGCCTATGAGTACTCGCAAGCCAGGTCCTAAGATATGAGTACTGGCAGGCTAGGTCCTAATATCATTAGGGGACCCATGGGTGACGTCTGTTGGCATGAGACAAGCATATGATTATCAAAAGGAAGTTTAGTTGCAAAACTTCCGTAATACGAAAAGTTCACAGTCTCAAGTTGCGCATATGCTCGCAAGTGAAGCAAGTCGTAAGATAGAGTCCGCAAAATGGTGAAGGGTACCTCTGTTCAGCCCACGGTCTTTGTGACAGGCGCGGCACTTTAGCACCTCGTTTCGCGTGACAGGCGCAGCACTTCGTGTGGGCTCGCGAGCGTTCCGCACTGTAATGCTCGCGCGGAGGGTTTGTCGAGACTCGTTTCGCGTGACAGGCGCAGCACTTCGTGCGGTCTCGAAAAGCCCCCCCACTGGCACGAGCGCGCAGAGGTTTCGCGTGACAGGCGCAGCACTTTCGCAACATCAGGTACGTTTCGCGTGGCAAGCACGGCACTTTCGGATGTCGCGCGCAGATTTCGTGACAGGCACAGCACTTCGGAGGTGTCCGCGAGAGTTCCCCACTGTAATGCTCGCGCAGACGCTTTCGCAGGTGTAGATTTGCGTGGCAGGCGCAGCACTTCAGCAAGGCCAGGTACGTTTCGCGTGGCAGGCGCGGCACTTTTGCATCCGGAGAGGAAGGAACGGGAGGAAGGGAGGGGAGGGGAGGAGCGGAGACAAGAGAAGAGAAGAGAAGAGAAGCAAGAAGCAACGAGCAAAGATGCAAGAAGCAAGAAGCTTCAAGCAAGAAGCCACGAGCAAGAAGCGAGAAGCAAGAAGCCAGAAGCAAGAAGTTAGAAGCCAGAAGCAAGACGCCGCAAGCAAGAAGCAAGAAACCACAAGCAAGAAGCAAGAAACAAACAAGAAGCAAGAAGCCAGAAGCAAGAAGCAAGAGGCAAGAAGAAAGAAGCAAGAAGCCAGAAGACAGAAGCAAGAAGCAAGAAGCAAGAAGCAAAAAAGCAAGAAGCAAGACGCAAGAAGCCAGAAGCCGGAAGCCGGAAGCCAGAAGCAAGAAGCCAGAAGCAAGAAGTAAGAAACAAGAAGCAAGGAAGAAGCGTAAAAGAAGCAACAAGCCTCTTCCTATAGGCACGTTTTCTCATGCATTCATGTATGTATGTAGGTATGGCGGTAATGAAGGTATTGTATGCGGTGTTTGCATTTTCTGTATTACTCGATATGCGTGTGTATGTAAGTATGTAGGTACGGTATTATATGCATGCATGCATGCATGCATGTATGTATGCATGCATGCATGCATGCATGCATTTGTGTACGTATGAATGAATGTATGTATGTATGTATCTATGTATGCATGCATGCATGCATGCATGCATTTGTATATGTATAAATGTAAATGTAAAAGTAAATGTGAATGTAAAATGTATATGTATGTATGTATGTATGTATGTATGTATGTACGTATGTATGTATGTATGTATGTATGTAATGTGTGTATGTATGTGCGTATGTATGTCATGTTATGTATGTAAGTACTGTATTGCATTGTGCTGTGTTTTATTCTGTTTTTAGTGTAATGTAATGTTTCGTAACGTAATGTAACGTGATGTAAATGTAATGTTATGTCATGTTACGTATGTATGTATGTATGTATGTATGTATGTATGTGTGTGTCTGTATGTATGTATGTGTGTGTGTATGTATGTATGTATGTATGTATGTATGTATGTATGTATGTATGTATGTATGTATGTATGTATGTATGTAATGTATGTAATGTATGTAATGAATGCATGTAATGAATGTATGCTTGTGTATGTATGTATGCATGCATGCATGTATGTATATATGCATGTATGCATGATTATGCATGCATGCTTGGAAGTACTTGTGCCCATGTATGTATGCATATGGATATGTATTGTATGTATTGCTTGGTATGAATGTATGCATGCATGCATGCATGCATGCATATTTATAATGATGTCTGTATGGTATGCATACCGCACGGTGCTGCATGGTACAGATACGGTATGGCATGGCATGGTATGGAATGGTATGCCTTGATTTGGTGTGGTTTTGTTGGTATGGTATGCACGTAGCAGTGTACGTAATGCACGAATGTACGTACGTGTGCGCGTATGTATGGTTGTATATGTGTATTTGGTGTATGTACGTATGTATGTACGCATGTAATGTCTGCGCGCATGTATGTATTTGCCACCTGGTCAAAATGGCCACGTGAGGAGCCCAGGCGGATTTGCATCTTTTTTTGTGGGCTCGTTTTTTGCGTCAGCCTCAAAGGGAAACTAGCGGAAGACACAAATTTTGCACCTTAAAAAGGGCAAACTCAGGCGTCAAGGCCTCAGGCTCGTCGGGTGGCTCGACCTCGAGGTCAGGCGAGGGCCTAAGCACGGGCGAGGCACTCGAGACAAGTTGACTGCCTTGGACTGACACGCAACGCACAAATCAAAGTTTGGAAAAGAGAAACGGAAAAGCATCAACGCATGCAAAGTTGTAGTGGCATGCTGCAGTCACGTGTGGCCGGGCTTTATGATATGTGTGAAGCTGATAGATTTGTGCCAGACGCAGACGTGTCCACGACATACTTGGAAATGACGTCACACACGCATACACTGAGCCAGAGATAGCTAGAGCACATGCCTGGCATAAAAGCCCAACTTTTGCTCGAAAACCGTGAGGCAGGCAGCATGTGAAATGCTTCAATTTGACGACATCCCAAATCGAAAGCCTGTCTGAATAACACATGGCACCAAAACAGCTGCTTACCTTTTGCTTACTACCACAAGCCACCGAAAAGGCATCCTCTTTTTAGAGGCCTGGGCAACGACCCCGCCCAAGCTTTGTCCCAATCACACTGCTTCCACGAATCAAGAAAGAGAAACACCGGGCCATTTCTTGGCGCCTTCCCCCAGGGGCTCCGGGCACAAAGGGAGATGGCAGACCATCAGAGGGAGATGCCGGCGCCGCCGAGGATGGCAGACCTGCGACGGCTGCTGGCTGATGCCAGGGGAGGGGCGAAGCCCTGGCAACTGCACTGCTTCGAGACAAACAACGGTTTTCGGGAAACACGGGCACCTCGAAAAGTTGCAAATGTTGCACATCGGCCGCACCGCTGAGCCTTTTCTGCCCAAGAGAGCTTCGACAGCGAACACAATCACACCGACCCACTTTCGCAACTCCAACTGTTGACAGCACAAAAGCACTTAGAAGTTATACGGCACATAGCCTGCAACACACCATCGCCCAACCCACCTAGTGGCAGAAGAGGCAATAAAACATATATACATGAGTAGCAGATTTGCTAGATGCCTGAATTCAATCTAATGTTCATCAACTCACCTCACGAAGTTGCTTACCAGTCACCTAAGTCTCCTGACTCCGCTGAACCCGAAAGCGCAAAACATGTCCCATCTTCGGCCAACCAGCGCCTGCCGAGCTCCGTGGGACGATCTGGGAACGAGAGTATGGGAGGGCCCGAGAAGATCTCGGGTTGACCCTACTGCGGTTCGCTCAAGATTGGCTGAAAACATATTTTCCGGTGCCAGAATGGCTCCACATGACACATGCTGGTGGGGAAGTTCTGCGCCAGCACTTCCCCCCAGGCAGACATGACTAGAACACGACCTGAACCGGAAAGTCATTGGAGCTACTAACATCAATGCTGGGCCTTCACGTGATCATGAATAGAATGTCCTATCCATCCATCCATCCATCCATCCATCCATCCATCCATCCATCCATCGACTTCAACTTGGCACCTGCATGCAAAAAACGGCTGGCTCTGTCAAACAGCAACAGCATGACAAGCAGCAAAAGAAAACCGACTGCTAGAAGCATCCACGAATTCTGCACACAATTGCAAGCCCCGCCTCCAAGGAGACAAAGTTGCACAACAAGTTTGCAAGGATCAACTAAAGTCCGAAAACAAGCAGCGCCCACCCGTTTGGTTAAGGTGTTGGTTCAGTGTCTATTTCAAGTTGGTTGACTCCAATAGCATCAATCTCCAATACCTGTGTCCACCAAAGGCTCACTGGGAGAAGCCGCAGGAAAAGGCCAGACATGGCCTGAGACTGGGCTGCCCAGACCATCTCTTCCTCCGCCGCTGGGGGCGGGGGAGTCGTCGGCATCTGTGTGGGAAGCGGGATGTCCACCGGCGAAGACCTCAGAGTTTTTGGGCCACACTGACCTCTGACAAGATGTGTGGTACACGCAGAAAAAGCCTGCAAACATGAGGAACGTGTTGGGGCGCGTACTTCGAGGAATCAGGCACATCCGAAATCGCTGCCGGGCAGCAATGGTAGTGGATATCAAGGAAACAGTACATCGTTGGGTTTGGAAGTACAGCGAGTACAGCGCTGTAAAAAGCCCTGCAAACCGCGAGAAGGAAGGATGATGTGTTTAGGGGAAAACTCAGAAGGGAAAGGCGCGCCTTCCGGCTCGTCCTTCCAGGGGCGTCCCTTGCTCCTTGCCCCAGACTCCCAGACTCAAGGCAAATGCACCTCAATCTGTCTTGGGCTTCAGGCTCTGTGCCATCTCCAACAACATCTCCCTTCTTCATACCGTTCAGCCTGTGTTCCCTCTTTTGACAGAATTGTAGCTTCTTTTAGTTGTCTCATTTCGGCAGAACATCATTTTTCTTGCAGCCCTGTCCTTCTTTCCCATCCACATCTTAATTGTTTCTGTTTGCCTGTTCTTGTTGCCCATCCAAACCTACTTGTCTTTCTTCCTCTTCTATGCGATCCCTTCCCTGTCCACGCCCTTTCCAGATCTTTCCAGCGCAAATCGGCGAATGGAAGGCTCCAAACAAGCCACTCAGCAAAAGTTACCTGTCCGTCCAAAAAGGAAGCCATGTTTTCCCATTTGGGGCGGTCGTTTTCTTGATTTGGGGGGTTCCCTTGGTCTGAGGGATAAGGGAAACCACCACCAAATCATTCGAAAATCACCACCCTAAATGGGAAAACATGGCTTTAGGGCCCTAAGGGCCTGCGATCCCTCGCCCCCTTTGCCGGGCTCCCCAAACGCTGCCGTGAGGTGCGAAGTGGGCACCGTGATGGAGGGCATCCGGCTGGGGACGCTCAAGGTCTTCTCCATGCTGCTGGTGTTCACCTAAGGCGCATGCAGAAATCTCAGGAGGACATGTTGTTTCTCACAACAAGTGGATTTTCCACCAAATGGCGGAGGGTGGGGGGTTGGTTCTGAAGATTAGGTACATCAATTCATCGAAGACGAAGGCTTCAGAACTGTTGTGGCTGCAATGGGGAATCTAAGGTGAAATGTATGTGACCATTCTTGTTCGATGTCCAGCACCCACACACCAGCACCCACATGACTCAACGACTCCGGTCAAACAAAAATGAGGATAGCTGTGGACAGCTGTTGCAGTGGTAGTGCCCACCCTCAGCCATGAGGAGGTTTTGAAAAGTCTCTTCTTGGGAATGCCTTTTTTAGTGTAGTGTACCCCTTTTGGGGTTTCTTTTGAACGAAAAATCCAAAAAGGAACACTTTCCATTTTCCAGGGAATCTCAAAATAAGGCAAAACCTCTTCATGTCCGCAGCCATACAGTTGTGGGCAGCCAACCCTTGGACCAGATCCATGGAAGTCCTCCTGGGGCCCCAGCCGCTTCAGTGGGCTCCTGAAACTCTGAGAGATGGGAGCTCTTGAAAGGCATTTTCCGGCGTAGTTTGCCCTGGTTGTCCTCTCGCCGCTGTTTGCCCCTGCCGAGTCGGACACAGGCCAGATGTTTCTTCTGCAGTGGAAAGCCCAACTTGGTATCTTGGCCTGTTTGTCTGTCTGTCTGTCTGTCTGTCTGTCTGTCTGTCTGTCTGTCTGTCTGTCTGTCTGTCTGTCTGTCTGTCTGTCTTGTCTGTCTTGTCTGTCTTGTCTCTCTGTCTGTCTGTCTGTCTTGTCTGTCTGGCTTGGGGCGTCACCAACAACATCCTGGGTAGAGGCGTGGTTTGAGGGGGGTTGGGTTAGGTGGGGTGGGGGGCGGGCTACGCCTTCACCATGCTGATTGGGCGGGGGGGGTGTTCTGCCTTTGTACATAGGTTGATCTCTATGCAATCTTCATACTCCGCTTGCCATTTTGGGGCTCAAGGCCCTCCTTTTGTATATAGTACATCAGAGCCTTCAGATCACACTCTATTCGAGGATACAAAAAACGTGAATCAGTACTCTCCGGTGGATATAGATTACCAGGGACCTCAATATCTTATTTCAGTACACTGGTTCCCTCAAGGGGGATAAGGTGGCATTGGAATTCGATACAATGAGTGGTAGCGGAGCAGGTTTATCCGCGGAGACTGATTCGAAGGAATGTCATCCGATGAAGGAGGCTTCCCAGAAGTATATGCAAGTGCGAGCCGACCAATGAGCTACAATGAAGAAACGCTCAACCTGTCGATGACGACCAAGTTGCCGCCATCATTCGACGGGAAGGTTAGCTGGTTCAGATATGAAGAACTTGTTGATGATTGGGTGACCATCACGACAGTCGAGGCAGCCAAACATGGTCCACTCCTGAAGAGCAGACTCACTGGTGATGCGTACATGTACAAGTCAGTCCTTCAGAATGACATTTTGCAAGATCCTGCCGAAGGAGTCAACTATTTCAAGAACACACTGAAGAAGTACTTCCTCAAGGGAGCCATCAATGTGTATCTCTACAGACTCCTCAGTTTCTTCAATCACAGAAGGCGCAACAACGAGTTTCTCATATTTACATCCAAGTTTGACATACTCCTCATGCGATTGAAATCAGCATGGATGGACTTGATGCCCGTGCATTCGCAGCAGTCCCCGGAGTATTTGTCCTCAGTCAGTGATGCAAATGCAAGAAGACAGGCAGCCTACCGGCAATCAGCTGGTAGTCAGGCCGCGCCTCTAGAAGTACTGCAACCAGAAAGTCCTGAGGTATACCAGAGTTACCTTACAAGCCAGCAGAACAGGCACCGAGAAGCATTCCCATTTGGTGACAATTTGATTGCGCAGTTCTACATCATCCAGAGCGAGCTAACAGACCAACAGAGAGAAAGATTGGTCAGCGCAATGTCCCTAAGGGGTCTATCTCTGGAGCGGTATTCATACGAAATGCTGAAGACGCAATATCACGACCTCTTCATTACAACGCGCACCTCGATCCAAGATCCATCGATCCGACCATCAGGAACCAGCAGGAATAACACCTTCTACATCCTTGATCAAGGAGAATTCGAAGGCGAGGAAGGTTTCTGGGTCGAAGATGACGAGGGATGCGAAGGATTTATTTCATATAATGATGAGGAAACCTTTTGGGCATTGGATGAAAACGATGCTTTTATTGCGAAAAAGGTGCCAGGGCGCAATTTCAAATTTGGCAGACACAAGGGCAAAGGAAGATCAAAGAACAAAAGGGCAAGCCACCAACGAGGCGGTTTCAAACCCTTCAAGAAGAGTGGGTCTGGCGGGAAAGCCAATATGGCAGACGAAAACTATGATCCCTACGACCAGTCATACTGGGGAAAAGGCAAGGGTAAAAAGGGAAAGAAAGGAAAGACGAAATTCCAACAACCCTTTGAGGGATACAAGGGATACCCTCCATATGAAAGTGGCAAAGGAAAAGGCGGATTCGACAAAGGAAAGTCAAAGACATTCGCAGCCACCACAGAAAAGTCAGAGGAGCAGGTTGCCACACAGCAGCCGGCAGAACCTCAGCAGCCTCCCCAGGCTGGTTGGAGCGACAACGACTGGGATCAGACATGGAGCAACTACGCAGCAGGATGGTATTCTTCCTGCGACACAGCAAATCCGATGCAAGCGTATATGGCCTCTCATGATTCGATACGAAATCATGACGACATGACCATCAACTGGAAGCCTATCCATGCAGATTTGGTTTCAGAGAACAACTTGCTTGCGACAACGAATCACAGCCTTTTGGCAACAAAGCTGATGGCGCCTGTCATCAACCCATCACAGAATCCGACCTATGCGATTTTGGACAATGGTTGTACCAGATCCATGGGCAGCTGGCATGCGATCCAGCGTTTTACACAAGCCATCGAACCATTGCGACACCTCGTTTCTTACAGGTACCTCCCAGCTGATACGAAGTTCACCTTTGCGAATGGAGAAACTGCCAAGGTCAACTGGACACTACAGTTGATGTATCACACAACACCACCATGCAGTACGACAATCGACGTTTTGGAACAAGGAACAGTGCCGATTTTGCTGAGCATCAGCCAAATGCGTAATCTGTATATGACAATTGAACACACGCCTCAATGCGATAAGATTACGTGCAAAGCCTTCGGCATGGACCGACAGCCTGTTCCTGTATCCCAAACGGGACATGCATTGGTAGACTTGGCAGGAGTCGCGAAGGTAAAGTGTCACGGAGAATACGCAGTCAAGGGCATCAACAACCTGGTATACGATGACGACAAGAGCATTCAGTTTTCATCCGAGGATCAATCCAAGGTTGAGATCGCCTGTGCATCAAAGTCATCCGAAACCAAGGAAGATGCCGCGACACCGAAGATCATTGGTTCGCAAAAACAAGATCATTGGATTTTTGACAAGAAGAACAAACAGCTCATTCGAGTGCATAACACGCCAAGGAAGGCATTGTTTACACCGAATGGTGCAAAAGAATGTCCAATTGATTACGACTGCATCAGCCGGGAACGTACAACAGAGATGATTGATGCATTCAAAGGTGGAGATCCCGAAATCATCGAAGACAACTGGAGACTTACATCCAGAGCCAACAGAGCGATGACAGATCTATGGAAGGGAAGAACAATTTTCACCTTTTCTGACAATCCGCTAAAAGATGAAGAAGCAGGTTCAGGATCCGCTGCAGACAGGATAATCGATAGGAAGGGCCGGTCGACCATTGAGCCAGGTCCTGCTGCACCACCATCCGATGAACCAACGACACTTCCAATAGCACTTGGAAGGATCCATAAGCGATTGTCCGATCCAGAGCAATTGAAGAAGCTTCACCTCCAGCATCATCATATGACGACTGACCAATTTCGATTCAGAACACGTGCGCTTCACTTGCCAAAATCAATCTACGATCTATTCGAGAAGATCCGAAGTGAGTGCGAAGTTTGTCAAGCGGCCAAACAAGCACCATCCAGAAGCAAAACAAGCGGACTACGAGCAGACTCATTCGGAGACATGACTTTCATTGATCACTGTCAAATTCCTCTCAACACGGGAGAGCATATCATTGTCTTCGTGATCCTGGATGGAGCAACAACATTGCTCACTGCCGAGGTAGTGACTACAACTCAGGAATCCGAGAACATCACTGTCCTCAGGAACTATTTCGACCAGTATCATCTTCAGCCGAAATCCGTTGTCGGAGATCAAGCCTTCATGACAGAGACGTGGGAGCATTTTTATCAATCCTTGGACATCACACCGATATCCTTGGGACCGAACACGCCATGGCCCAACAGAGCCGAAGCAGCTGTTCGATTGCTAAAGGCACAAGTCAAAATCATGCTCAATTCCATCAAGGCAGGGACATCACCTGCATCACTCAAGAAGGTTACTTACCGGCAACTGGTAAAGGCAGCAGCAACTGTCAGAAACCAGACAGTCACCTACGGGGGTGTCACACCTTTGGAACTAGCATTCGGAAGACGACCCGCAGATCTCATCCAACTCGATGTCGCAACACCAGCACAATTGACGATCAAGAAGAACGAAGACGAGCTCACAGCAGGACAAATCAAACAGCTTTCGAAGCAGGCCTTCCAAGAAGCACGTCAATCCGAGGACATCCGAAGAGATCTCGCTCAGAATTTGAGAATGAGTTCCAAACCTCTGCAGGTGAAGGACAAGGTATTCTATTGGCAGGAAGATAAGTCCAAGATTCGATCCGATGGAAGCAAAGGAGGAATATGGCTTAAAGGAAAGGTCATCTCAATAGAAGGACCTATGATCGGACTTGATCTCGGAACAAGACTCCTCAAGGTCAACATCACCAAGATCCGCAAGGACGAGACGATTCCACCAGGAAAACCTGGAATCGACTTCTTGTTGCCTGAGGAAAGAGAATCCCTTCAGGGGAAGGTATCCGAACAAGATCCGAAGCCATCCTCATCCAAGTCAAAGCGTGTGGTTGGCAAGACAAAGCCATTCAAACCATCACCACTGGCTCCAACACCATCCGAGACAATGACGACAGAGGATCTCTCATCCGTTCCAGAACATGCGAACTGGAACTGTGTTCGAAAGGGCAAGATCCATGTCTTGGAAATATTCTCTGGTAGTGCCAGATTTAGTCAATGCTGTCCACTTACCGGCCTTAAGGTCGGTACGCCAGTGGACATTCGAACAGGCTTTGACGTAATGACTTCCAAGGGAAGAGACATGGTCATGGAGATCATTCGAGAACAAGCTCCCGATCTCATCCTCATGGCACCTGTCTGTGGACCATGGTCGAACATGCAGAACATCCAACGTGATCAACAACGAGTCTGGGAGAAGCGACAACGCTATCTCCCAATGGTTGAATTCGTGGCAGCCATAGCGCGATACCAACTCAAGCATGGAAGATTCTTCATCATCGAGAATCCGAAGACCTCACGGATATGGTACGTACAATGCATGATGCAACTCTTTTCACATCCATCT